TTGTAGACCGTTCACAAGTATTATTCATATATGCATATGCATCCTTTTCTTTGTTATTATTACTTTCGTGAGCAACCTCCTACTTAATCATTAAGATAATGCAGAATTATATACCATGACCAAGAAGATGAGCCAAATAATCTTCTGGTTTCTTCAGATACTTTTGCAAAAGACAAGGTAGTGCCCAGCTTAACTCAAGGATATGAACATCCTTCACTGTTTCCAACCTATAAAGTTTTCCAGCTCTCCAGACAGGACTTTCCACCTTAAACTCTGGCTTCCCTTGAGAACCTTGTTTCATTATAAGGCAATTTTCGCCACTTAATCTTCACATTGAGCCCACTGGATCTTTATCCTGACACAAAAGAAACAAAAATTGTATTTGCTTGTTTTAGGACAGCTATTGCGAGTTGCGACCAAGTTACAACCAATACAATTAATTTTCTTTAATATGCATTAGCATCCAAAAGAAAGTGAGTTACCCTATAGTATCAGTAGCAAATATTGTTGGCTTCCCAAGAATTGGTGCATCCTGTTATTAACACAATGAAAGTGAGAAATTGTGGAACTACTATAGAAAAGGGAAGAGAGAATCCCACAGAAAGGATAGAATTTGTGGAATATATAAATATCAAAAGACTACTAATAAGCAACCTAAAAACAATGTGATGATTAATTAGTAATCATATCCTAGCAAAAGCAAAATGAACAGTCGATGATGAAAATGGATTACATCTTTGAACGAAAAAACTTGAAAAAGGCCAGAATTAGAAAGAATGAGATGATGTTCTCGCATTTAATTATTCTAGTTCTGTGGTGGCATCCATTAACAGTAAACAATATAAAAAGTTCCTGAGCAACCCTTTAAGTCTTCGTCAAGGGTGTACCAACCATAGAAAATCTAAGATATGCATGTTAGAGTTCAATTTGCCAAAGTTGAGTAACAAACACTAGAAATACAAAATAAAAGTGACTTCTATTACTGCCAGTTACAACCAAAAGTGATTTCAATCACAACAGATATTAAATGTGGACAGAAAAAAACAGATCAATAAAGATATAGCATACCTCGTATTCTTCAAACTCAAAACTTCCAATGACAACAACACTTGCCACATGACTAAGAGGGGGACGAAGCAGCCCTTGAGCTTCTTCCCACGTTAATTTCAGCTCTATAAAATCTTCATTATGAATTCTTAGACGTTACTCTTTGAACCTAGCATGCTATTCTTCCTTTTTCTGGAAACTGCTACTTTGGCTCCTAATGATTCCTTTGCTATGTGTCCTGACTTATCAATTTTTGACCATAAGCTAGGATCTGCCATTTCATCCTGGTTCATGGATAAAAAGTTACGTGAACCTGAACTATTTTCAAATAATTGTAAAGTATATCAGCAGTTTTATCTTTTGAGGCACTGACATCTCCATGCATAGAAATTCCATTGCTAGTTTTGTTTTCATTAATCACCTGAAATAAAAATACATTGAATATAGATTTTAGAAAGACCAACAATAAGTTTTACTATAACTGAAGTGTAATTGTATCCTGAGAATGAACTAAAAACAAGGAGAACAAAAGCATTCATATGAACCAGTTATATTGCATTTTATCTTAGCCGCCGAGCATATAGATGCACAATCAAAATAGATGCAAAACCTGATCAGATGCTAAAGCAATTGAAGCCTTTCTGAAACACATGATCAACTTCCCTCCAGGCTCTAACCGACTAAATGTTACTGCGGAAACAACATAACTATGAGTTTCAAAATAGATGCAAGTATAAAATGATAATGCATGATCAAAGAGAGAAAAAAGCCACGGACAGGTAAGAAAGATAAAACAAATGCATGAGAGTGTGAAACAGAACTATAAGGTGGAAGCCAGAGTTTAAGCCGAGAAAGGGCCTCGGATCTAGGGTTAAGGGTGAAAGTGAGGAATGAGGACAGCACAGACGGCTTCAACTTCCTTCTTAAAGCCATCGTAAGTCTTATAGCCCGCAAAATACGGCGAGCTTCACGGTCATATGCACTGGTCTCTATCAGAGACGCAATTTCCTTCAAATCTAGCATAAACCCAGAAAATTTATTCAAATCTGAGAAATCCCATAAGTTCTCAGTTCAGAAACATTAGAAAATAGCAAATCAAATTCTACCACCAGGCGTAAAATATATGCATGCGAGAGGGGGGAATAGGTGTTATAGATGCATAGATGGAGTGAGCTTACGCTGCAAAGTGGATGGAGAAGAGGAAGTAACGGAATTGGAAGGAGTTGGTTGTTCTTTCATCTCCACATCTTGAGTCATTTTTTAGAACCTGAAACAATTTCAAATAGAAATGAAACGTAAAAAATAAGGGGAAAAAGGTGAAATTTCGATTATGGAGATGCTTCCAAGTAAAGGGAAAAAAATAAGCGGGAAATGATGAAAATAAGGGGGGAAATTAAAAGATGAATTTTAGAGATGACACACAATTAAAAAGTGTACTCCGTGTTTTTTCAAAATTTTTGGATTATGACTATTAAATATGACACACATTATTGGAAGTCATAAATCGTTCATATTTTAAGAAACATGACATTTTTTTATGACACACAATTTTTGCAAGTCATAAATTAGTGTGTCATCGTTCGTGTGTCATTAAAGATATATTTTCTTGTAGTGATTATAATTAAAATTCTTCCTCCCATCGAGTTTTGAAGAGAAAAAAAAAATAACGTTAATAGAATTTTGGGTTAACTACACAGATGATCACTTATATTAGTGTTTTGTCCACTTTTAGTTATGATTTCAAAATATATAAGATATGGTCATCTTCGTTTTAATTTAATTAAGATATGATCACTATTGCTTTTATTTATTTAAGATGTAACCATCATGGGTTCACTGCCATTAACATTTAACAAATTAAGTGACGTGATATTTTGGTATAATTATATATTTGGTCCATATTATTTACATGTTCTCTCAATTTAGTCATACTTTTAATAAAGTAAAATAAATGTAATCCTCTAATCAAATGATGTCATGTGTCACTAGTGTCATGCCACGTGTCACCTTTCGGTTGGAGGACTAACTTTATTTTAATTTAATATATTTATTTTCCACCAATTTGTTTTGCTTTGTTATATTAAAATAAGATAAATTTAAATAAAGTACGTCTTTCAACCGAATGGTGACACATGACACGACACATAGTACCAATGATAGTGGATTCATTTGATTGGAGGATTAAATTTATTAATTTATTAAAAGTATGACTATATTGAGAGCATATGTAAATAACATGGGTCAAATATGTGATTATACCAAAATATTTAATGGCAATTAACTCGTGGTGACCACATCTTAATTAAATAAGAACGAAGGTGACCATATCTTATGTATTTTGAAACCAGTGGCCAAAAGTGAACAAAACACAAACATAAGTGATCATCCATGTAGTTAACCCTAAAATATTTAAAGTTAATTAACTCGTGGTGACCACATCTTAATTAAATAAGAACGAAGATGACCATATCTTATGTATTTTGAAACCAGTGGCCAAAAGTGTACAAAACACAAACATAAGAGATTTGGTGTGTTGATTGTGATAATTTGGAAAAATCAAAATTAAAGAGATTCAATTGATTTTTTTTAATTTTAAGAAAAAATATTAAATTAGAGTTTTATGGGAAGTAGAACAGTTTATTAACGTTAATATAAAAATTCAATATCGATGATTGACACCTTAGTAAACTCATAGGTCTCATTATTTTATCTTATATTTTCTTAGAAAATTTTATTATCAAAAACTAAAAAATATATTATATAAAGATTTTTTAATTTATGAGAGCCCTGAGCGGACGTCCCTCCCGCCTTGGCCCAAGGCCGACCTGAGTTGAGGAAACTGCGAAGGACATTTATCCACGACGGTGCATGCATTAATGAGGCTTTGCCGGCAGCCATATACATATTATTTGTCCGGCAAAGGTGAATATTGACGGGAGATGTCCAATCCGTGCACATACTATTTGCCGGGTTTGCGACAGTTTGATCGGGTTCATACATACTGTACTTGCTTGCTTGTATTTTGGTGTTTTTAAAGCTGATCTGATCATTGGAAATGTTCCCTTTTTCTTTACTGCAAACAGAAAGTAGGTAAAAGAAAGACTAAAATTAACACAAGTTCAAAGGAAGAGGAAAGAGGTTGTCCTGTCAAAAGTATTTGCTCAATCATCTGTTGCCATTTAAAGCAACAAGCCATGGTGGGAGGTTGAAACTTAAAAGTTTGATGTTTGCACCTCAACTTTCAACTCTTTCTGAATATGAAGTAAAATATTTTTTCTTTGACTCTCAAGTCTCATCCATCGCCTGAATTAGTGGGTGATGCACATTAGTAGATCCAAAAATATTTTTCAAGGTGGACACACATATGTTAACAGCATAAATTTTTTAAATGAGATGGTATAAATAAAATTTTGAGGTGGGAACCATTCATAAAATAAGTAATTAATCGAAGAAAACTTATATTTCAGGTTGAGCACGAAAAATCTCAGGTAGGTATTATCACTAAAATAAATAACTAATCAAAAAAATTTAAATTTCAAGATGGACACATGTCTACTGGTGATGCACATGGTAGTCCTACTACTATTACATAAAATCATAACGTTATATTCATAGTCTTTTGTCGTATGTATACATGTGCTTATTCTTGCTTTAGTTGATGGATTAGTAGGAGCTCTAAGACGACATAATATAGGCTCATCCAGTCATCCCCCAATGTAACAAAATAAACAATAAATTATTAGCTTATGAGTTGATGCTGATGTTTCGCCTAAGATTTAGCAATATCCTCGTATACTTACAATACTATTTTTATCAAGACCATAAACCCAAACCACGAGGCGCATGTTGTTGCCCACCATACGCATCCACCTACGCCAAAATATATTAGTCCACCAGTGTGGACTGTATCTTCTTTGTTTACACTTTATCTGTCGGTTTGTCCATTTCTTATTGCCACTTTTCAAAGTTCTTCCTCACGAGACACAGGAAAGAATTCAAGATAAAGAGACTGGAGATGAGTGAAAACTAAGGTGATGAGAATGGAATGGGATCAACAGCAAGAGAATCAACTCCAACACCAGGGGGAAGAAAATGGGGATGGAGTGATGTATGTCAAAGTGATGACCGACGAGCAGCTGGAGACTCTCCGCAAGCAGATTGCTGTTTATGCCTCCATCTGCCAGCAGCTGGTGGATATGCACAAGAACCTCACTGCCCACCAAGATCTTACTGGTTCCTTTCTCTCCCCCAGACTTTTGCTCATTTATGGCTTTCCCATGCTCTTGATTTTCTCTTCCTTTTTGTCATCTTACATTGGATACATAGATGGATCGAGGAGTGTTGGAGTGTGTTTACACACTGAAAATTTTAAATCCCTATCTGAAATTCTTTTTGTAGGCATAATATTAAATTAGTATCTATGGTTATTATAATGGTTATTTTGACTTTTTTTAATACTTTAACCTTAATATTTTATTTCAGAGTAAAAAGATTTTCTTTATAGGAAATTATTAGTTAACAAATTATTAATTCTCTGAATAAAATTTTTTATCATAAAATAAATGTCAATGGTCAAAATATCTAAAAGACAAATAAAAATGAAAATAATATAATCAATCAAACATTAAGAGTCTTTTTACATTAAAATAAAATATTAAGGGTAAAATGTTCTAAAAAAATGTAGAATAAAATAATCATTTTAATAAATATTAATGATTATTTTGAAATATTCTCTTTATATTAAAATTAATGATTTAATTTCACATTCTTCTATTCAAATTTTAATATAACTTCTTAAATTCAAACCACCTCGGTTGCTACTTGAATCTACTCGGTATGAAACTTGTGAGTTTCCCCTTCGTTTAAGCTCTTCTTTCTGTTATCTTGGATTTTGTGTACTGAAAAACTCATCTTTGGGGGCAGGAGGGAGGTTGGGAAATCTGTACTGTGACCCTTTAATGACAAGCGGCGGACACAAAATCAGTGGCAGACAGCGGTGGACACCAACGGCCGTGCAACTCCAAATACTGGAACGTATATTCGAGGAGGGGACCGGGACTCCGAGCAAGCAAAAGATCAAAGAGATAACCGCTGAACTGAGCCAGCACGGCCAAATCTCTGAAACAAACGTGTACAACTGGTTTCAGAACAGACGAGCAAGATCCAAGAGGAAGCAAGTGGCAGTGGCTGCATCCTCCAACAAAAACGGTTCCGAATCAGGGGTGGAGACCGAAGTGGAGTCACCAAAGACAAAGCCGGGGAACCTTCTTCTCCTACCTCAAGCTCAACAAGATGTGTGCTTTCAGAACCCGGCTGAGATAACCTCTCAACTGCATTTCTTGGGCGGCGGCTACCACCATGCATGGCAGGGTTGAAAATGGACCTTCTAGTATGAATTCAGTCGGGAAAATTTTCGCCGCCTTTTTCATTTCTAATCTTGTTCATTTCAGTCAGTTTATCAAACTCTTTATTTTTATTCTTTCATATATTTATAGGTTGTGAGTTTTAGACTCGTAAAATTATTCTCTTCTCTTCTGAATAAGATTAAAATTAAATTTAAAATTTTCAAAAAAAACTATTATTATATCAAATCTTATTATACGTTGATCACATTTTTTATATAAAATGAATTGATTGTAGTAAAATTTTAATTAAATGACACGGTTATAAATTTTTGAAATTAAGTGACTTATTTGTTACCTGACTAATAAAAGAGCTACTTTGTTGTATTTTACCCGAATTTTAACGGCATTGATAATCGATTTTAGTTCGCCTTATAAAGACGCTAAGGGTAAAGTTTGATAATGGTCATTATATTATGTTCAAATAAATATTTTGATCATCAAATTTGTAAACATTAAAAATGATCACTAAATTTATTAAATTATTGTTAAATAATCACTATAATAAAATAATAAGAGTAAAAAATTGATAATTTTAACAATTATTTTATAAAATCTGATAAAATTTAATATTTATTTTATAAATTTTAATAAAATTTAATAATTATTTGACAATAATGTTTTAAAATTTAATAATTATTTTATACTAATAATTTAAGAAACTTAATAATTATTTTTGAAAATTAAATTATCAAAATAATTAGTTAAGCGTAGTTTAATGATCTCTTATCTATATTATCCAAAATTAATTAATACAGTGATATGTTTCTAAAAGAAGGGGGAAATAGAAGATCTTTCTTTCTTCAACCACCGCTCTAGGTTTTGGCTCCTCCCGCCACCTTCACCGCCCGCTCACCTATCGCCGCTGCGAGCTCAGACCCGAAGATTCATAGGGCCTGTTTACAGTTTGAAGAATTGATTAATTGGTAACCTTTTAAGTTTGCCTCTCGTTTTTTTTTTTTGAATCTTCATTTACAAAAGAAAAGGATGGGGAAGATCTCAATGGCTTACATCCACGAGGGTGAATGGCCTCCTGGGACAGTTGACATTCACATCGTTAAAAAGAGTCTTCGAAAGGCTGTCTCTGTAGCTATTCTTCTTCTACCATTCGCCTGCATTTTCCTCTCTTTCAGGGTATGGACTCTGGACTGTCAATTTATTCGGAATACTCTTCTCTTATAGTAATAGATTCTTGACTTCCCTTTTTCTTTTATAATATTGACTATGAGTTATTGAGGAAGTAAGGAATTGCCAGACATGAATTTTGGTAACCTAAATAATTTTCTATTTCTATTGTTAAAATGGTTTTCTGCTATGTGAGCAATATTCTGGAAATTAACTCCACTATCTGGTCATAATATCTCATACATTGATTGAATGGATATAACAGGAAATTTCAGCCACACTTATTTTGTGGAGATTGCTGCTTAGTGGACACTTTGTCATATTATTATTATTGCTTTGGAACCCTGTTCACAAAGGTGAGTCCATTTTTCAGCCGGTTGCCTTTTGTTCTCTGATATGCTGAACTTTTTTTCAATTCAACGAGTAGAACGAGATCGATAGTTATATTCTTTTAATCCTTTTTCTCAAGTTTTTTATTTTCAAGCTTTCAGAGTCTGTCGTCATAATGCCAGCCTTTGGAGTTCAGCTTGAAACTTACTATGCAAGGTAACTTACTTTAACTTCTAATTCTTTGAGAATGAATGATAAATACCCATGTAGCTACATGTTCTACAGTATGCCACGAATATACAGAAACATTGTTCTAATTTTTCTTTTTCCTTTTATTTTTCCGTACTTTTAGAATGTAAAAACATTTTGGAAGTTGATGGCCAGATAATTTTCCTGTTTTGATTTTTCGAACTTCCTCTTTTAATCATAAAATAAGATTGTATGTAAGAAGGGGAACATATGTTGTCACTCTGTATCATAATTGATGATCTAGGCTGTTATTCACCATTTAGGGTTTAGTTTCACATTGCAATGTCCCGGACTTGCAAGTAATTCTCAGGCATTTCTAGCTTTCCTTCAATAGACTTGATCAGCCTTCTGTCTTATTTTCAATCATTAATAATGAATAAAACCTTGAGATTTTTCATTTTTTTGGTCACTATCTTCTACAAAATAGTAGCTGTGATAGTGCCATAACCAATGTTATTATTTCATCATCTTTTGTTTGTTTATGTATTTTGTTGTAGTGGAAGAATCATCCGCAGATTTATTCCTGCTGGTGAGATTTTGAAACCTGTATTATTAGAATGTGTTACCCCAGTAACTTGTTACTGGAGCCTCTCTTTACTTGTGCGTGGGAAGGAAGAGCTGGTGTTAGTGTTCAAGGTAAAAAAACCTGAATTTCAATTTCTGTTTCTTCCGTGGAAAATATAGTGGGGATATATAATGCTTATATCTTAAACAGGATAGTCAAGCACTTATTGTGAATACCAAGGAATAGGAGAATTTTGTTGGGAGTGTCTGTATGTGTTGTCATGTAGCTAATATAGTAATTTTGTGTTTAATTGAGGCATAAAACTTGGTTGTGTGTGAAGGAGCTACGCCCTCCGATGAAGATGTTGCTTCCCGTATGGAAGGCCTTGTGTGCTAGCATGGAGAACAAAGAAAGTGCAGTCACAAGTGGGGAAGTTGAAGGTGGTTGATTTTCAAGACCATGCAAGTAAAAAAAGAATTATATGAAAACACATCAATTAGCAATTAGTAAAGAATACATCTGGGCTGATCGCTGCAAGTGTAGTGAAAGAGATGGAGGGAAATGCATTCGCATCAGAGTTAAAACAAACTAGTCCATTCCAGTAGAAGAGGATGAGCATTAGAGATTATCAACAAGTTGTCTGTTGCAAAAGGAAACAGTGGATGGCCTCTACAAATGTGTTCCCCCCCCCCTTCTCTCTTTTATGATTTTCTTATTGGTTTGTTTTATTTGATATCCAAAGGGGTTGTAGGTTTAGGGTTTACTATACTTTTAGCAAACAGGGCAAGCATATTGAGAATTCAACTAGAAACATACCTGTGTTTACTTATTTGAGTCTGAGAATAACACTGTGCTGTTTCGGACGGTACATGTATATATGTGTGGAAAATGATTGGTTTCATTTTTCCGTATGGCATGATTATGTGCTTTCATGTTTGTGAAATATTAAAGGTGTAGTGGCATAATTGATTATAACACAGGTTAAACAAGAGGCCTGAACCCAAAGTTCTTTTATGCTTTCTCCTCAAGGCTCCAAGAAAACGGTTAAAACCTGCCACATCATGGGAACAAGGGGTACGAGTCTATTTGTACTTTGGTATGAGAAAGTGAGAAAGGACAACCCTTACAGCAAACCCAAGAACAATGCATGGGGGGTGAAGAAAGAACGAGAAAGAGAGAAGAGTTACAAATATTGTATAATGTTTGCAACATTCTTTTTACTTACAAGTTACAATGACCCTATTGTGTTTAGAATACATGGGGGTGAAGAAAGAACGAGAAAGACTCAGCTCACATTTATTACAACTATCAAAAAAAGATCGAATGAGAGAATGATAGTAAAAGAACTTGTCAACTGCTCATCTTGGTAATGCTTCCGTGCCCTGAAAGCCAAATTTACTCTCTGACACCAACTTCTCGCAGTCTTTAGAAATCAGGTTACTAAAATCAATCCAGCAACCCAATTGCCTAAACAACTCAACTTAGCACGTTAGTTTGTTATTCCATTGGCTGCTCTTAACCGCAAGCTGGCTCGTTCAAGGCTGACTCTTTGTCGATACAGCCCATGCCATAACTCCCTTGGTTCGTCACCCCTCAATTGCATCTTAGCTATTTGTTTATGTAATGCCTCCAAATTCACAAGCGGGACTGTGGTTGGTCGCCCATGAGCACACTGCATGATATCGTTTTCACATTTATCAAGGAAACAGGATGAAACCTCTCACGAGTGTACAAATGAATGCATACATGCACGAAATGTCAGTGATCAAAACTGGAAGGAAAAACACTTGCTGTGTATGTTTAACTCACTTGGAAGCACAATGAGGTCTGCTTTAGCTCTTCAACTATTAAGGAACATTCTGAATGAAGTAAAGTGTCTCCGAACATAATTGCACCTTATTGAAGAAAGCACGACAGGAAGAAACTCAAAGTTAGCCATCTTATAACGAAGGACACGATATCACCGCATATTAGTGAAGGCTATGCAAGTAAATAAGAGTCGGAGTTCTAAATAGACATAAAACCCACAAAATACATAGATATCTCTACAGCAGCACAGCTACACTAGAGAAGTCTCACTTGACCTAACATTCGTGCATATAGAGGCATTTGATCAGATAATTATTGCGTTGACCACTAATCATTTATTATATAAAAAAACTCCCCCATGGATATGATTTGAATTTGATTCCCACACTTGCCATTTCTTAGCGAGATCAGGCATATACCTCGGCATGCTTTGCAATTAAGGATGCGACTAACTGACGGAGGCATTGTTGATGATCCATCCGTATCAGCAAGCTACGTATCATAAATAAAAATTACGTGTTAAAACTTAAATACCTTTACCAACAGGTTAAAGGGAAAGGAGAAGTAGGATGTAAATGATATAATATGCAACAAACCATGTATTACCTGGTGAAGAAATTCCAACAGATCAACATCAGATAAATTGACACCTAAAATGCAAGGTACCTGTGCATATTATCCATATAAAACTTCATTGACATCATAGTTTAACAGAACAGAAAAGGCAACATTGAATTTGAATGATAAACAAACAAGGACATGGAAAATATTTTCCGGGGTGACAATCCAACTTTTCCATCAAAATATGATAAAAACAATAATTTCGGCCCAACCTCATTGAACTTGCAAAAAAAGAAGTAAAAGCTCATGCAAAAGACGTAAGGGATGTTGTTTAGCCTCCATCAATATAAACAGAACTACAGAAGTGTAAAGGAGCTTAACTGCAAGAAGTTTGACAACAGCCGGCTTAGGATGAATAAGGTTCAAATTCCTGCAGATTAATTAAATTTAAGAGGCAAAGTCAGGAATCATAAAAAGAACAATAATAGTGAATCAGAAGACAATGGACAAACATTAAGGGATTATTTGCATAATGGAGAAACTCCTGTTAAATATCTTTACAGGTAAGAGCCATGCATCTTTGAACAATGTTTTCTCCACTCAATCCACATCCAGAATTATTGATCCCACAGAGAACTACACGTGCATAATATTTTCAAGAAAAAAAGGGAAAAAACAAAATTACTTCTTGAAGGATCTTGATTCTTGGGTGTGAAAATCGCAGATCCAACCCCACTGTCTTATTTGCTCAGAATAATTGTGCAGCAACTGATATCCCATTTCTGGCAGGATCTGTTATTTAACAACTAATAAGTTAAACCTAGAATCACAAAAAAGAACCATCTTTAGCAATGTCCAGGGTAAAGCTTCAAACATCAAACTAGGTATACCATCTCTTTCTCTGTAGCCAAATAGGTGACTGACTTCCCTTCACCAGATAAGACCTGGTTTTCAACATGTCAAATCAGTAGCGAAAATCTCTACTTCCACAAATTTGAACTTGAAAATGTTTTTACCATATGACGAAGTTCTTCTAGTTTTATTCTTTCATCTGCAGCATGCTGCAAAAGAGAACAATAACTAGAGTTAATCATACTGGCAAAGTTTCAATAGCATTTACGCGAGCATTTACATTAATAATGTTATTATTTTGTATGTCCAAATCAGCATATAAGTTATCCTTTGTTCTATAGGCATAAAATCCATGGTCTACCATAAGTTTGAATTATGGTATCTTTCACCTAGTTGGGTGATCTTTGCAACTAACATGTTCTCACTTCTCATCAACTATTCATCAAACTGTTGTCATGAGTAATCTCTGTATCTTTGTATCAGTATTTGTGATGACCTTCATCATGACTAATTGACATCCCTTTCTAGCGAGTCAGCTGTTCCTCAGGGAATATATATTTCTTGTAAAGACAAACATCTGGCAAGCGGTATATCCAAGACCTCGTATTTGCACAGTTATACATACATTTTCAGCTAAAAAAAAACCTACAATGCAACAATTACAGCAGAAAAAGCATGAGAAGGAAAAGGTAATGTTATAGGAATCTATGCAGGTAATGGACCTGATCAATAATAGCAAGAGTTCCACCAGCAACAGTTGGGATGAATTTCTTATCCACCTGTTGCAGAACCTTGGCATCTGTGAGACACTTCTTACTGATCGATTTAGGAACCAATGATTCAGTGGCAAGATAAAGGATTCCGGAAGCAATGTCAAGTAAATCGTCTTCATTGTCAGTACCATATGATTTGCTATTGCTCTGCATTAATCATACAGTAAATATTAATGACCACTAGTGATTAGTGAAGCACTTGGAGCTGAAAACTCAGTAGCACAAATATAATTGATTACAATTGCAAAAAAATACACAACCGTGTTCTGTTGAAAACAATTCTTCCATTTGGTTGCAGAAATTTCCGGATCCTGATTTCCATTTGAGGTAGGTACTGAAAGATGAGAACAAAAAAGAGCCATTAATCCGTTGAGAAGTATATAAAGTTTTTCCTTGTTTGGCAACTAAGCACATTTACATGAAAAAAGAAAAGTAAAACAGTATTTTGCATTCCGTGCCTATTAATATATTGGCAATGTTGTTAAACATCCTATTGAAGATCACCAATACCAAATCAATATCAATTGCCTCATGACAACTTATAATTATATACAAGTATTTCATCTGGTGACAGAACTGAATTACCTTGTACGAGAACAACTCCAGGATCTTCCAGGCAATGATATTCTATCTTTTCACATTTTTTAACTATGGTGCCAAACACTGTGTCTGGCTTGTTATCCATATTCGATCTGTATATAGCAAAAGTAATCACCCAACAAAGAAACTTTAAGTTCCAGCTGCAATATCAAAGTAACTTCTGTAAGGATATATAAGAATTGCGGATACCTATTCTTCCCAATACTAGGTTCAAAATATAGATTGTGCACACTAGAAGATTGTTGTGGAGGCTTCTTATCACCAGTCACTGCAAAAATCAGACATTAATAAGCTACATCATTAACCAATCCTTTGAACTGAAATGTCCATCATGTAATCACCTAAAGAAGTGCAAGTATCATGGGCTTCATTAGAAGTAGATTCCTCTGATGTTTGCAAAGATAAGGAGATAAACCTCCTTTTCAGGATGTAAAAAGGAGGGGCTGACTGGCTTCTTCTAGATCTTCCTTTAGGACTTAAGTTTTTTCCAAAACCTTGATGATGAAAGCAATCTCTTTGCCTTTCATATTCATTAATACTCGAGTCTGAACATGGCCGATATCTGTCTTCAGTTACCACATTGAAATGTTCAGGAGAAAACTTATGATTTAAATTGTACTCTTGAAAGAGTTCACCAAACTCTCTACAGGATACAGCACAGTCAATTTCTAATTCAGTATTTGGGTGGTTACGGATGAATTTTTCTTGTCTGGAGCCCCTTGAGATTAGATCAAAACCAAATTGGTTGTCATCTTCACCATAAGAGAAATGCCCAAAGCATGTCCTTTTCTCAGATCTGAAGTTCTCGTCTACTTCATTCGTATAACTGAATCGTGTAAAGGGGTTTGAGGTTCCCAAATTTAAGGACTGATGATGAGGCAGAGTTTTCTGCTAGTGTGACTGAAACGGGTCGTAGGTCATTCTCTTCAACAGAAACATCTCCACCACATGATAGGAACAACTTTGCAGATGATCTTAAAACTTCAAAATCTCTTGGAATGCCACCTGTTCTTTTGGGATAAATTTGAGGACATGATTCTCCATCCTTCCACAGGGCCTTTGAAAAGGGATCAAATACCCCGTCACTTAAATCAACTTCCAGCGAATTGAAGCTTTTATTTGAGCAAACCTGCTTCTTCTTTTTCATAAAGCTACCAATTGGTGATTCAACTCCTTCCTCAATTTCAATCAACTCCTTGTCTAGTGGCCAGTTTCTTTGGGAGAAGCAACTTTGCAGAAGAGGTTTGCTGATATTCTTCCTGAACTGTGAGCCATTGCAACGTTCACCATAATTAAAAGGAAAACCACTCCTGGCTGTTTCATCGGTCACAGAACTCTCAACCTTAAGGAATTCATTACATAACTTTGAACTTGTATTGTTGTACCCGAGACAGTTTGGTCTTTCAGAAGCCATTATTCCATTTCCCAAAAAGTAATCTTCTGCTACAAAGTTATTATCAGATGACCAAAGATGCCAATCACTCCTTTGGTTTACTATGAATGCATCGTTGGAAAGGAAATCGCTCCAACTTTGAAAAGAATAGTCTGTCCAATGAGAAAACTTCATTTCATTCTGTTGATCTTTAATTCGTGTATTCCCATTGCACTCCGCAAATGGCGTATCTTCATGTTCCACAAGAAACAAATTATCTATTGTTAGTTTGTCCTGTGAAGAAGATGGTTGATACTTTTTAGTCCTTTTCCTTGTTGCAAATTCCAAGTCCTTCGATGATCCATCAAAAAAATCTGCAGAAAAAAGGGTTAAAAAAGTAAATGAACATGCTAAGAGATAGCATAGCAAAAAGCAATAACTTTCTGTGAAAGCATGATTGGATATTCATTCACATCGATTTCCAAAGAAAATGTTTGGCGAATAACATGTTGAAGTGTCCTCCACAAAGTATGAACTCTTGTCATCTTCCTTCAGGGTTTCAGCTTGTCCTAATCCATCAGCTGCTACTAATCCATCAGCTGCATGAGTTAAAGATTATATAGCAACAGATAATAACTTGATTGCTTCAGAAGTCATTATAAATAAAAGCATAACAAGCACTTTTTTTAACATGACGGAGCATACCAAAACCAATACTATTCCTCCAGAGGTGTTGAATTGCCTTCTCAATGAAGGTAAATATAGGTTTCCAATCCTGACAAGAAAGCAACATAGAGACAGAGAGACGAGTGAGATATTTGAGGCTGAATTAACAACTTTCTGAAGTTCCTAATAGCCCAAGTGCTCAACATTTCATGTTATTAGAAAAAGGCTAAAAAATAAACTTACCACTGAGAATTAAATATGTGAAAGTTGAATTATGGCATTACATAGATGACTTTAAACGTAACCACATAACTTTACTAATGTTTTAATCCCACAATTCTTGAATATAGAGTATACCCAAAGGGTAATAAAGTGAAGGGTCCATCATCATACACTCTGTCATCTATTATTGACGGGATGATGTCATATTTGGCTGCTGTATTTTTAAAAATTCACTGTGACCTGTACTTTATAAGTGTGTAATACTGTATCTATACTATCATTAGTCTATTAACATTGCACTAGAGGTTGACACCATCAAGGTGGATGACATTGTTGTCATCCAATCACATAATGAGACATGGTACAAATTTGACGAATCCCCTCGCAATACAATTGGTTGAATTTAATTAAAATGCATATAAGGAACTCAAGGGTCAACTTCTGAAAACACAAAAAATCTACTATTTTTTCTCTTAGTTTCTTTCTCCCCCTGATTTACCAACTTTCAGGCCAAATCCAGCCAATCACTAGGCAAAGGAGGCCGGAGCCAAGGTTGGCAGCTTGGAATAGGCTTGAAACAGGCCAGTTCCACTACTATTCAAACCTCTGGCTAGATCCAGCCAGTACCTAGTCAGGCTCGGCAAGAAACCGGTGCATCAGCTGTCTCAGTTAAAATTTTTAATCTCTGGTACTAGATTTTGACACAGAACAATAGCATATATACCACATTACACATTTTAAAGTAGAGGTACTGTACAACATAGGAAGGTTCCATAACAAAAGGGACTGGTCACAAAACAAAATGGCGTACAAGGGCCAAATATGACATTCTACTATCATGGAAAGCAGTATTGAGTATTTTGTCCATGCTTCTATGCAATAGAAACGTGCAACCCCAGTCTATTATGAGATCATGAAAAAGTTTAAATTAGTACTCAAATGTTTGAATAAACATGATTTTGAACTAGATGCTAAGGTTCCTCCTGTTAAACAAAATGTTTTAACAAATAGAAATGCATATTAAATCACAGTTCATGATTAGACTGAATATTACCTTAAATTCAACATATGTCTTTGATGGTTCAAAGGTTAAATCATAGAAAGACGGAGGGCAGCTAATATTCAGTATGTAGGACGGAACCACTTGAGATCTACTCCTCTTCCCATTCTTGGTCCAGTTATTAGTCTTCTCTGGATGTAAAGACTCGAAACTAGTGGCCAAGTTGTTCAGCAACTTATGAATGGGACCCTTGCAGACAAACCTTGAATTGATATCTGACATTGTAAAGGTACAAAACTAAATCGATTATAAATGATATATTCATATTCACTAGCCCTATAATGGTCTCAGATATTCTGTGGATACAGATATATTGAAAGGCCTGCCAGAAAAGAATGGCATAAGAATGAACCCAGAAGATAAAAATGATGAAGAAGGTTATTCAGTTAATCAAAATAATTATTCTACCTTAAAAGAAACACCATCACAAGGACCAGATATGTAGCCTGAAAGCTTGAGAGGACCATCATTAGCATTCAGCTTATGCAGACAGGCACAGTCCTCAATCCCAAGACCACTCATTAAAAGTGGAAAAGGGGAAGAGGAAGGATGCACAGAGAGAATCTTGTCCTCACTAAATTAAACAAATAATAAAGTTAAAAACAGAAAAGGAACATGAATCATAGAGCTACAACTAAGAAATTTGACAAGAACATACCCCTCAATATCAATAACATCAAAGTAAACCATTGGGTGAACAAGGGCAATTCTGAATACACACTTTTTAACAGAGTGCAGCACCTTCTTCGGGCTTCAATTCAGCATTGGAAATCACAAGTGAATCAGTTCAGTGTAACAGCAGAGATTTCAGAAGGTGTAACCAATAGCTAGCTTAATAAACCATGTTAACTTATAAGGGATGCAAGAAACTGGAGATTGAAAAGACAAACCTAGATTGCATATGTTTCTTTCGAACAGGTTGGTTGTAAAATAAATCACGCACCACAACTGTATGGAATCAAAACACGTTACTGGCAATGCATAAAGAGAAACGAAGCAAGCACTGTGACTTAGTGAGAAAAAAGGTTGAGAGCATTAGAGAAAATACATGAAATAAAAGGAAGCATGAACAAATATACTAGGAAGCAAACCATATCTTTCTCCCAGTAACACCAATCCATCCCGAGATATACCAGATCCTAAAAGAATATAAGCAACAGAAAATCAAACATGAAATGCGGATGGAACTGACAATTGGTTAAAGGTTTCAGCAACGAAAGGCATGATAGTATTTACCATCATCAACCACTTTGACATAGCCGCTCCCAGCACTTAGAAAGACTGACACCTAAATAACAAAGAGACAACTACTCTTTTAACACAAAGCTCTTATCGTATAGCTTATTTATGAGTTGTTGAAATTTAAGACCTTTGACGCATCAGCATCGAGGCTATTGAAAATGAGCTCCTCCACAACCTTAGTGAGGTCAAACAATATACTGGCAGAACGCAATGTCGCGCGAACAGCCTCTGGCAAGGGCTTAATGCTCCCCATTACAAGCCTAATCTAGCCTATATGAAAATTTACACAAATATACGCATCAAACCCAATCCGCTTTAAATTCACAAAAAAAATGCCTAAAACAAAGTATTGGCAACAAATTAGGGTTGGGAAAGCCTTCCATAGGGGCAAACGATAAGCAGTTCTATTGCGAAGAAAACAAAATCTCCGAAGCTACGTTCAATAAGTTGAGTTCGAGATCATCTCACCTGAGCTAAGGTTTAGGGTTTATTGCATTGATTTCGCATTTCAGTTTTTTTTCCTTCTTCCCGCAATTCACTTTTGGCTTAATGCCCAAATAAGTACCCAAATTATACCATTTGTACCAAATAAGTGACTACATTTTTTTAGCCCATCTGAATGCCTAACATTACAAACGTTAACACTTTAGGTACCCGAGCCGTCAACGACGTTAGTTTTCTCTGTTAAGTGACACATGTCACAATCTGATAATGTTAAAAATTTTATATAAAATTAAAAATATATATTTTAAAAAAACACACATAAATTTTGAAATAACCCCTAAACTTTGAAAACCTTCATTTCAACCCCTAAACCCACACCGACCGCTGCCTTTTGCCGTCGAAGAAGCTCCACCCGATCTTCATTCCCCCAACGAATAAAACCCATATGAAATCGTGACTAGTTGACTGATCGACGATAAATCGACATTTTAAATCCTGCAAACCCTATGATGAAAATCATGATCCCACGAAATTCTGATGGTGAATCGACAACTACTACGGTGACATATAAATAGGATGATGGAAAGGACTATGTCAGCATGAGAGAGGGTGGTGACGGCAGATTAAGGTTAGGATTTGGGATTTTGGGATGTTTTATAATATAATAAAACTTAGGATTTTTTATAAATATAATAATATTTTTAATTTTTTAAATAAATTTCAAAATTACTAGATTGCGGCACATGTCACTTAACGGGAAAATTAACATCGTTGACGGCCCGGGCACCTAAAATGCTAACATTTGTAACGCTAGGCACCCAGATGGGCCAAAAAACTATATACACTTATTTGGCACAAAAGGTATAGTTTAGGCTAGGGCTATAAACGAGCCGAGTTGGGCTCGAGTATTGCTAAACTCGATTGGACTCAAAAACTCTAAAATGGAGTTCGACTCAAGACTCGAACTCGAAATCATGAACTGAAGCTCGAAAAAGCTTGAAATGAGAAAAATCTTAAACTTAACTCGATCGAAGCCTCGAATTCAAACTCGAACATTAAATACATGAAAACCTTATTGTAGACACTAAATTTTTGTCACATTTTCATTTTTTATTTTATTATTATTATTATTATTATTATTTTTATTAGTATTATATTAATAAATATTTTTATTTACATTACAGGCCCAAACCCGAGGCCCGTTTTACAACAAACCCACCAGGCTCGAAAAACCCTAACCCATCTAGGGTTTCCTGAAGCTTCCAGCCGCCAACGGTCCAGATTCATCCACGCCGCCACCTCAACCAGCTGTCGACGCTCCACTGCCAAGTGACCCAAACAACTGTTGCCGACGCTCTATTGCTGCCACACCTCCAACGAAGACTCCAGAAGACCAGAAGCAGCCGTACACGTTGAAGCCTAGGGTAAGTCACCACTATAGTTTGGTGACTCACCGAACTTCGCCCCTATTACCCGGTCCGAGGAGAACATTGTCGATGGTTATAAAAAGCCATCGACAACCTGCAAACAAAAAGAAAAAAAGAGAAAAAAAGAGGAACCACCAACAACAGATAACAACAAGAACACGAACCTACATCAGCCAATATAACATAAAGAGAAGAAAATAAGAGAGAACTTACTCTGTCATTGGAGGCTTTCGAAACGTCACCGGAAACCTTTGAACTTCGAAGGTAAAATCCTAGATCTAGGAAATTCTAAGGGTTTTTAAGATAAATAGAGGTCGTATTCGGCCTTAGGAAGTGAAGATCTACGTTTTGGTGTATTTTGAGTTTTTCGGCCACCATTCACGGTGGCCGGCGGCAGCAATTATTGCCGGAGCAAGGCGACCGGTGAGTGGCCAGTTCTCTCCCCCGGTGGATGATTTTAGAGAGAAGGGGGAGAAATTATCCTAAGAGAGAGAAAAAAGAAAGAAAATGAGAAGTTTTGGCCCTTAAGGGCCGGTTATAGGATTTTTATACCCTCATCAAAACGACGTCGTTTCGATGAGGGTGTATGCGTAATTTTGGGCATGGTAAAATCATTTACTAAGTCATCTCAGTTTGTAACTTTTACGTTTTAGTCACTGGAATGATTTTCTGGACATTTTAATTTTTTCTTCGAATCTTATTTTATTTTTATTTTAGTCCTGGCTAGTATATTTACATATTTAGGGTAAATATTATATTAGTCCCTCAGATTATATATTTTTATTTAATCACTAATAATTAAGGATAAATTACACTATTTGTATATATATTTTTAATAATTTGAATTAGAGTTTTTAATTTATATACTTTACGTTTTAGTCTTATAATTTTTAATTCCTTCTATTTTAATCACTAAAGTCAAATTTTACGCATTTTAATTTAGATTTTAGGTTTTATTTTTTTTTATGTTTTAGTCATTTAATTTAAGTTAATTCAAATTCTCAGTGAAACTAATGTAATTCAAATTTTGAATCCGCTGTTTTGAATTTTTAATATCATTATTGTCGGTAGTGGGGTCACATTAAATTTAGGATGAGGACGTTTGAGTGATTTATTAAGGGCTATAGTTTTTTTTTTCTACCTAATAAAAAATAATATAATAAAAAAACTTGAGCAATTTGTCTTTTTCCTTCATAAATGACACCAATAGTCATTCCTTTCTTTTACATAGTTGAAATTTGAGCTTTAGTTACTATTATAAGTTTTACAATATTTTTTTATAATTTATATTTTAATGTAAATTATTATCTATGGTTAATTATACTATTAGTAATTATAATTTTATAATAATTCGAATTATGTCCATTAATTTTAATATTTTACATTTTATTCTTGTTGTTTTAATTTTATTTGTTTTAGTCACTATTTAGTTATACTTTAATTTAATTTTTTATATATTTATTTTTCAATATTAAGAAAGGGCAGTCTTAAAGCAACTGGATGTCCATTTTCTGATATTCTTAAATAAATAAATGTCTTACTTTTACAAATTATATCTATTTTTAAATAAATGTTTTAATATTTATTTATTTTTTATATTAAGAAAATAGCTGTCTTAAAGCACCTAGAAACCCTTTTCTGATATTTCTAAATAAATAAATATCTTATTTATATATAAATTAATAGATTTTCTTATAAATTTGAAATAATAGGATTATAAATTAAATATATTTTTAAATTTTTAAATTTCCAATAATAAAGACAATTTATAATTAATAAAGTACCAATCTTTGGCGTTGTGGGTGTGCTAATCCTTCCCCAAACGTAATCGACCACGAATCCCTTTTTATTAAAAAGAATGAATTTTTGGTTAAACGCTTATCAATTTATCTTTTAAATTATGTTTTCTTAAAAACTATTTTAAAAGATTATTTTTAGGTATTTGACCTACCTAAACAAAAAGGGTCAATGGCGACTCCTAAAATATTCTAAATCAAAATCATTTATTTTTTCCGCCAAGTAAAATTTCGTGCCCGGGCGAAAACCGGTTACGACAGCTTGGCGACTCCGCTGAGGACTGGTCAAACTTTAAAATCGATTACAAATTGTCTCTTTAATTAGAAATTAGAAATTCATATATTTAATTTATAATTCTTTATTTTCAAAATTTTTATATATACTTATTATTTTCCTAATATTTATATATATTATTTTATTAATGTTTTTTTTATTTTAATGTATTAAATTTCATTATTTATTTGTCTGTCAGAGGTTTGAACATTTCTCCTCACACACAACACGTACATTGCATAACATAAGTTTTTTAATCAAGCTTGTCCCTTTTAAGTGGGAGTAAAAGCGACGTCTTCGTGAGAATTTATTCTCCGTGTTAGACCTAGCAAGTAGCTTTCGGGGTTCATATGCTCCATGTCTTCGTGGGAATTTATTCTCCGTGTCAGGCATAGAGAAATGTGTCCCCTCGAATTGAACTCGATCCATTTAAGTCTGTAGTGGACTAGGATTGAGGGTTGGCAGCCCAAGGGAGCATCAACAAGGACAATTCGAGTACCTTTACTCTTATAAATGAAACCCTACATATAATGAACCTTAGAAAGTCTCCTGATCTAAGATTGTACTGAACCTCTGTCCGTAGGTGTACACAAATGAGAAATGAGCTCTAGTTTTTAATTTCTTTTATTTTCTTTTCTTTTTCCTGAATAAATGCATGTGAACTAGAAATCATGAAGTTATGTTAATTTTTCCAAAAAAAGAATGGAACTAGAAAGCATGAGGTTAAGATTTATACCTTGATAGATAGAATTTTTCATTCCATTAGTTGGTACTAATTATTCTATTTTTTTCTTATTTTTTCCATGCATGTTACATTGCTCTAATTTGTTTATATTCTTTTGTCTGCATTGCATGATCATGGCATAACCAAAAGGTGTTTACTTGAAAGAATGTTCATCAAATTGGAAAGAAATAGTAAATGGACAAAAAGTTTTATGATCAAACGAAATATGATGCGGCCAAGGAAAGATATCCTGAGGAAACTCCGAGGATAGAAGCAAGCAATACACACAGAGATCCTGTTATATTAATACCAAAAGTACTCCACATAGATCCTTCCAGATTGATACCAAAAGCGGTCTACGGTAAGAACATCAGTCGGGGCATTTAGAATAAAGGAGGTTTTTATGAAGCTCAAGCATGTTATTTGAAGGACCAAAACAAGAAATTGAGCTCAGAAGTGGAAACTATGCATGAAGATTTCCAGAAGATGAGTCGAGCCTTTCAAAGTGCTGGCATAAGAAATACCCAGAAGAGTGGATAACAGGGGTCACCAAACTAAAAAATAACTGCAACATATATGAATCTCTTGTCCAAGAACTTCTTGAACACAAAGGTTCTCTTACAAGGGAAAATGAGCAACTCCAAGAACTGATACAAAAGATGAAAGAGAGTGTCACGGAAGAAGATGTTGCTCAAGCAAATAATGTGGCTCATAAGCTGGTGAACATAGCTGGCTTCGCGAGAGAATTAAAGCAGATTGATAACTCCACACCTGAGCATGAGTGGAAGTTAATTTGGCTTTTAAGGGAAATAGAGAAATTAGGA